AAGCCCAAAGCAACAGCAGCAGCAGCCGCCGCAGTCGCCGCCCCAAGCATCATCGGCACCCGATGTCATTGACGAGCGCCCACCATGGCGAGGTGCAAGCGGACGAGCGCCCATCGTGAGCCCAGTCCGTGACACGAAGCCTGCAGCACCTCTCAACATTCCTCCCAAGAGCACCAGACGCGCCGCCGTTGGGCCTCGGCTGCCCATCGCAGGTGTCAATTCACCACTGTCCCCTGTCAGCCCCTCGGGATCTGAAACGTCACCACGGTCGAGGACGCCCACCATGAGAACTGTCTTCAACGCTCCCCGCCAGCTGACTACTGCTTCTAACGCTTCTTCTCCTACTGCCGCTCGCACCCCTCCACCCGCACAGTCGGCATATCCCAGTCCTCCCAACTCGGGCGCTGGAGTCCAATCGCCCGTACATGCGACGCTCGAAGCCACTAATGACGCCAATGTCACGAAGAGACAGCCCCCATCCCTGACGGGCCTGCCCGCTGCCCCTAATGCACATCTCGGCCTCGACAAGGCTATACGAAGAAAGCCTCCTCCTGCCAACTCGCATGCGCTTCACGCTCCGCAGCCCTCCTATTCCTCCAGCGTGTACTCAGAACAGACTGTTCACGCACCCGCCAGCACTCACGAAAGATCGCCGCCTCGCGCTCCTGCAGCAGCCCAACGCGAAGCTGCCGCTGCAGCCAAGCAAACTGACCCCTGGGCTCAGCCTCCCTCGAGATTCAGCGTTACTACATACGCGACTTCCGCCGATCCCGATACGCCTCGCGAATCTGCAGAGACGGATCGGCCTCCGGTACCATCTCTCCCGACGCCACCGCAACAGCAAAAGGACGGTGTAATGAACCGCAGACGACCACCTGTACTCAAGTCCACGAGCCCTTCCATCAACCCAGATCAGCCCATTGTCATCTCCATGTCGTCCCCCTATATGTCGGGCGCCTTTACTGAGGACACGTCGCCGCCGCCTGCCCGAACCCAGCTGCCCAGCCAGAAGCATCCGCTGCCTAGAACGAGCTCTGCAAGTCTGTACAGCAACTCGAGCCGCCCGGAGTCGGTCTGGTCAACTAGCAAAGCCTTGCCTCCGCCGCCGACTGAGCTCTCCATGGTCAACGATCGTGTGGGCTACCTCAACGCCCGGTTGGAGTCGTTGGGCAATCGCCGCATCAACATCAACCAGGCCATCAAGCAAATGACGGAGCTTATGCCGACCGACAGTATCTTGGCCAGCGAGGCCGTCCTTAGGAAACGCGAGGCCGAGAAGCGCAAGGTGGAGGCACTCAAAGTTGAGCTTGCCGAGGTCCAGCGAGAGGAGTACGAGATTGGCCTCAAGTTGCACAGAGCGTACAAGAGGATGGATCGCAACGCAGAGTACGAGCCGACGACGCTCTGGGTGCGGAGAGTTACTGGCTAGCCAATCCTAGCCCGTCACAGTGAACCGTGAGAGGAAGAGTGCTTGTATGATATTTTCGGGCCCTGTTCATACCGGCAGTTCGGACGGCTGCTTATTTTGGTGCAGCACGGGTCGCGGACATTGACGGAAGCGTTTCAGAGGAGTTTGCGTGGTTGAAAAAAAAAAGCTGGACAGCACAGTTTATTGCGAACACGAAGTTTTATGGCCCTGACTTGCACTTTTCCTGTTTTTGTTACCCTCTTTTGGGAATCGGGTTGCGAATTGGGCATGGTTTGATGGGATGGGTCGGGCGTCTCTTGGGAGATGAAGTTTTGTTTCTATCCTTTTTGTTTTTGATACCTATTTTTCTCTGAGAACTGTAGAACAGAATTCTAGAAAACTTTTCTTCTCAATCGAACTTTTCAACTCAAGTACTGTCCCAGCCCTAGTTTGTCTCGTGTTGTCTCTCACGTGAGGCCGTTTGCTTGGTGAACCGGTGTTTTGAAACAGTGACATGTTGGGATGGAGAGTGTTGGCGCATAAATGTGGAGGGTTGTGAGGATAGTCTATAAAGGTTTAAGAGCTAAAGATTATAGTGAAAATGATGGAGTCTCTGAGGCTTTACTGTGAGTTATCGGTCCAAAGCTGAGGGGTTTCCGAGGAGGGGTATAAGGTGCGATAATGACAGCCTTTGAGACGACTACTCGGCAACGTAGAGGGCGTTTTTCCAGCTTTTGTTGCTCTCATAGGCTAACTATCATTACCTCGTCGGGCGAATACGCAGGATGGGTGTTGATATACCAGATTCGAAGGGAGATCTTGTAGTTTTCGCCATGGATGTCGACCTACATTTGCTGCAACGAAAGCATCAAATCAATACAAGGTATTCTTCCGGCGGCTTTGCGATGAAACGACCGGGATGCAGTTGAAAAGATTGTTCGTTAGTAGTTTTCAAGGCATAGTTGCTGGCAAGTTGACAGTGCCAATCATTGTCTTCTGGACGAGGACTTTGGTTTCTGAACATGTAACTGGGACGCAACACCTGCAACTTGGGTTTGGCGGCCAGACTGTTGGTAAACAGGCAGCATAATCTTTCTACAACAGTTAATGTCGACACCCCGTTTGCCGCGGCCACTGAGCCACGGATTGGTTCTTTGTTCCGCGTGATTTATCCAGAATCTGCCTGACCTACTCAGATCAAAGTACCCCTGGGGCAGTAGCCAGCCGTCACTATCGAAATCGACATACTTGAACAGGCGAAGTATCTTCTTCCATCGCGCGGAAGGTGATATGGGTTGGGCAAATGACCCTTCCACACACGTTCTTCAACCTCGGAGGAGCTTATGACGACTGCTTCCTCCTTGCAGATCCTATGGACGTATCATCATACACGAAACCGTATTTTGTCCCTGGCAAAACACTGCCCTGCGGACAAGTATCCCATGGGTTCTGGAGAACGACATGTACATTGGGACGTAGTACCTCTCTCCTCAACTGCCAGATGGCGTCACTACATCCGTCTCGAGTCTTTCTTTAGGTTTGATCTATCTCGAGATTATTCGTAGGCGGATCTGAGAGAAAACGAGTAAATTTAGAGAAAAGCTGGAGACGGATGTAGTAACGCCGGGATAGGAAGGAGTAATAACTGTTCCAAGCTATTCCGTATCAAAGACATGCTATTGATCAATACGACACCTCTGTAAAGAAGTAAAAATATACTCAGCGTTGGAGTGTATCGGAAATAGAATTAACGCTACGTGTATCTAGCACTCGAGGGGAAATTAAGCAGGAGTCCTGTTGTGTTTATGGGCCGAAGATAGCCTGCACACCGAAACTTTTGTCAATTGGTTGAATTTGGCCCGTTATTGCTCCTATTATGTTTCAAAGCCCTCTAAGAATGCCATCGTCGGACGTGTTTGTGGGAACTCGAGTCCTGATTGCGCCTTCAGGTTAAATAAGACCTCGTCAAGCGTATCCAGAATATACTCTCTGCAACACATAGATAGGAGCTCTTTTCGTATAGCAATCGGCGTTTGATGAGAATCTTCATCAGTGAAAAGCCATGAGCTACTCAAATAGGTGACGTCTGGTTTCAAAAATGGAGTAGTTCAGATATGTCAGGATCATGCCGCCGAGCTCATTGTTTGCTTCTTCTTTCGTGAATTGCTGGTTCGAGATATGACCTACAGAGCCTTGACAAAAGCTCTTGGTACTGTGGTGTACAAATCGTACGGTGCTTTCCTCTTCATCTATCACGACCAAGCTGCCGCAGAAACCATGGACTTTGTTGATATTGTTTATCAGCCTTTTAGGGTCATGTTTCTCTTCGCCTACGGTCTCGCTTGCCATCTCTTGTATTTGAGTTGATGTCAGTGGCTCATATGCTGCAGCGAGATACTTGAGATCGATTATGGTATCTCTGAGGATCTCGAGCCACTGATTTCCCCAATATTCGGGCGTACTTTATTTCGAGATCTCGAGGAGGTGATTTGATTGCCTCTCGTATGTCGTGGTCTGAGTTAGGTTTTGAGATCCACCTACCACGATATCACCCAAGGCAGCAAATTGTTGAACCGCCTGCAGCAGGTTGGTCAGACGAGGCCCAAAACACCGGGATGAAAGTCGCCTCTGGCGAGCTTCGTGATCGTCTCAACCGTAAGTCGCATCACGTCACCTGTGGTCGGGGGTTTGGTGCAGGCTGTAGAATGGTCAAACCTGAAAGATGCCTTCTATGGAGAGATGAGCAAAGCCTCAAACTCGGAAACTGCTTGTGTCAGTCGTATCTCTGGCTTTAACAGAGAAGCCTGGCGTAACGCAAGCGCCATGGTTCTGACTCAAGCGCTCGAGAACCTCAGCAAACCTAAGACTCGAAGATGATTGTCGCTTTATTCGAGAAATATCGTAGATGCTGCCCCCGCCTCTAAGCCTGATCAAGTTGACTGATGTAACTACTTTACCTAGTAGGCGTAGTCATGTGATATATGCAGCCATTGAGGATCCTTATTGGGTCACTGCTACGTAAACAAGTACTGTTGCGCCTGATGGCGAACCACCATAACCCCACCAGTATTCAGGATATTCGTGTTCTGAAGACATCTAGATGTGTATCATGCATTGAGCACCTGCAGGCTTTGATTAACTATTTCACAATTGTAAGTTATGGACAAGAATAGCAAACAATCTCATAATTGGATCTTATTTCTCTTATATTCGCCTATGAATAATCTCGAAATAGAGAAAATTTAGTGCAAGATTGGAGACGGATGTAATGACGAATGTTATGACGCCATTCAGCACATCAGTCAATGGGATGAGGTTCATTGTCGGGTACACACCACTGCATTATGGGTCTTCCCTCACAAAAGTCCTTCAAGAGTGATTTATCTTACTGCAATTAACACTTCAGCCAGGCCACCCTTATCTAAGGAACTTTGGCTTGCAGGTCGCCCCGGTTCCCAAGTACCAAACCTCGGCACGTGATGTCAGCAATTGGATTTCTTTCCCGCCCAACCTCCCGGCATCTTTGATGGTGTCTGATTAATTACATTACACGAGCGTAGGCCAGCACTGAGATCTTGACGCAAAAGTGAAGATGGAGGTACTCGCTCTTGGTCTTGCCTGGGCCTTGAACCACACGATCCCGTCGCAGAATATTCTCAGTCGCTTCGGCCTGGCATCTTTGACGGCCCAAAGCAGAGTATCCTGGCCACAGCTCTCTGCACAGCTCTCGCCCAATGCATCAGTCGTGCTTCCCAACGAACCCATTTTCGATGATTTCACAAGTAGATGGCGCGATTGGCATGCGCCAGACGTAGGAGTCGTTGTAAATGTCTTCACTGAGAACGATATTCAAGTCACAGTATGTGCTTTAGAAAGAGGTCTATTTGACTGGTATGTTTTGCATCTGACAGTCAGTGCCTCTGCAGATTCGTTATGCCAATGAGCAAGGGCTCCCTTTCCTTGCTAGATCCGGGGGTCACGGTGCGACGGAGTCCCTTAGTCTGGCCAAGAACGTGGTGTCTATCGACCTTCGCGGTATGAGCCAGGTAATCATCGCTGAGAATGGCGAGATTGCTACGATTGGAGGTGGAGCGAGTGTCAAGGAAGTTGTCAACACCTTATGGGCAGCAGGCAAGCAAACAGGTATGCCCCGTTAGAAGCTCTTTAGAATCCCATGATATGATACTGACGACGAAAAGTAACGGGAATCTGTGAGTGCGTTGGTATATCTGCTCCAGTTCTAGGAGGCGGCCACGGATGGCTTCAGGGCCAGCATGGCCTAGCTTCGGACCAAGTCATCTCAGCAAGAGTTGTTCTCCCCGATGGAAAGCTCGTCACAGCGTCTGATGATGAGAACCCCGATCTCTTCTGGGCTTTGAGGGGAGCCGGGCACAACTTTGGCATCGTCACTGAATGGCAGTACCGGGTCTACAATGTCAAAAACACGAAGTGGTCTTACCAGATTTTCATCTACCTCGGGGACAAACTTGAGGAAGTCCTCAGTCTGACCAACGAGATGATGAAGACTCAGCCTGCAGAAGTCACGCACTGGATGTATTTCGTCAACATCCCAGAGATTGACCCCAAGCGGGTAAGTCAACACGACCGCAGAATTCCTTCAATGCGGAATGCTAAAGACGGAATAGCCCATAATCTGGTACGCCATTATATCAGACGACGCCTTGGAAAAGTCGACAGAATACGCGAAGCCTCTCTATGACATTGATCACATCAACGTCGAAGCTGGTGTGGCACCTATGCCAGATTTGGCAGGCTTGACCTTCATGAGCAGTGATAGTGTCGGATGCGCCAAAGGCTACACGGGCTTGAGATACCCAATCGGCCTCAAGACGTATGATTTGCCTGCAGTCCGGAGAGTCTTTGATGACATTGCCGACATGTCAGACCGGAACCCAGAGTTTGCCGGGTCGTTCTTCCTCCTTGAAGGGTACTCGACTCACGGCGTTAAAGCCGTTGATGAAAAGAGCTCAGCTTTCCCGCATCGAGATGATGACATTTTGGTAACATCATACATTATGTACAAGCCCAATGCGTCTCTTGATGCACTCGCTCAAGAGTACGGAGAGAAGCTTAGAGGGCATCTACTTGACGCGAGCCATGAGCCAGAGCATCTGAGGGCCTATGTGAACTATGCCCATGGAATCGAATCACTTGAGGCTGTTTATGGATGGGACGAGTGGAGACTAGAGAAGTTGAGAGAACTGAAGGCGAAATGGGATCCTCAAAATCGCATGAGGTTCTACAATCCTATAATATGAGACTTGAGCCTCAGTTTCTTCCTGGTACTCGTGGAAGGAGAAGTTCAGAAGGTCCGGTATGCAGGTGTGCTGTTTGACACAAAGTTCAGATCAGACTTATTTCATTCTGGGATTATTCACAAATGGTCTCCTTGACGTTTCTCTTGCGCCTGATTCCTTTGGAAGGATTCGTTGCCTTTCTTTATTCTATACTAGCGCACTCTGCGGTAACGAGCCGCTTTAACATGTTACACATAATTCATTCACATGGTCTCTTCTCAACATCGCGCTTAGCTCAGATGGTTTGCCTTGTTAGATCTCAAAAGCTTAGGATCAATCTCAAACTGAGAGAAGTTGTCCACCAGATCATCCCACATCTTGGGATCGTGCTCGTGCTTCTCCTTGCTGTTCCAGGCATAGTCGGTGATAGTGAGAGCTCGGCTCGTCTCGAACATAAAGGCAATGGAGCCGAGCGAGATCTGCATCTGAGGGGGGTCCGCCTTGGACGCAGCGGCGAATTGCTCGTATGCAACGCCGTGAGGCACGAATCCACATTCGAATGAGATACTTCCCGGCTGGAACTCATCAGACCGGCCTCCATATTCGCCATAGATCAGTCCCATCAGCTCAGAAGCGCAGTTTCTGTGGTAGTACGGCGGTCGGTAGGTGTGAGACGCGACGTCCCATCTAGGGGAGAAGATCAAGAAGTCTGCCAGGGGCGCGGCTGGGTCTCGGGACTTGGCTGTCAAGACACAGAAGATGGACGGATCGATGTGGTCTACGGAAATAGAACCCACGTTGACGAACTTGGTGAGGTCGTACTTGTACGGGACGTAGTTTCCGTGCCAGGCAACAACATCGAAGGGGCAGTGCCGTTGTGTGCTGTTGAAGAACTTTCCGCCGAGCTTATATACGATGTTCCAAGGGTCGTCTTTCGTGACCTCGTACGCGGCAACCGGGTGCAGAAAGTCGCGAGCGTTGGCCAGTCCGTTCGCTCCCAAGGGACCCAACTCGGGGAGCTCCCAATTTGAGCCCCAGATCTCCAGGATGTATCCACGAGTCGGTCCTTCAACGTTGACCTTGAAGCGAAGACCGCGCTGGATAACGCAAATCTCACCCGGTTGCACGTACAAGAAACCAAACTCCGTTTGGATGTCTAGAGCACCTTGCTGAGGCACAACGAGCCAATCGCCGTCGGAGTTGGCAAAGGCCCTTTTTGTCATGCTCTTGTTGCAAAGATAGACGTGAGTGGCGAGGCCTTCTCGAAGAGTTGGATCTCCGGAACCGGCAACAGTCTTGAGACCATCGACAAAGTCCATGTCTTTGCCTTCAGGAACCGGGAACGGTTTCCATGCCAATTGAGTGGGAGAGACGTGAACTCGAGGGTTGATCGGGATGAAAGTCGACTCAGTGTCCTTGTTATCAGGAAGATCGGTCTAGAAGAGGAGAGTTAGCCACACTTTTGGAAACAAAAGCCAATTGATGAATCAGGCTTACGAATCCCTGGTGAGCTACAGCTGGTCGCGATCGGTACAGCCAAGCTTTTTTGTTCGAGTGCCTGGGCGCGACGAAGGCCGAAGCCGTCACCTGTTCGGCGTACAATCCATACCTAATGCTCCTCGGGCTATTTTGGCCCCTCGGAATGGTGCCAGCGATAGCCTCAGACTCGAAGCTGTTGTTGAACCCAGGCTGATAAGAGTACGGGTCATTCGGGCGCGTCGCAAACGAAGGAACTGCTCCGTCTTGCTGCGTCGCCGCCCAGTGAAAGGCGTTTTGGAAGTCCTTCGGCTTGAGATCTTTTGGCGCTGCCATGGTGAAGTTAAGATAGCTTAGTGACTGCGTGGAGGGGTTACTGGTGAGGGGCTGACGATGACGACGGCTCAATGGAGCTATCTGTCGCTTTTGTAAGAAATGATCCCCTGTCCATTGCGGAAAGCTTCACCCCACATGGAGCTATCTGAGCTAGGGCAGCTACTCCACACGGTCTTCACGGCAGTCTGCAAGTTGGAGCGTGTGGAGGTTCGGAGAGCTTTGTTGTTGCCCTGAGACGACCTGTGTGGGATTCCAGTCCGGACAAGTCTCCTAGCGTGCGGGGATGTGGTGTCTCTGTCATGACTGACACAGTCGCCGAAGTGGGCTCGTGCTCCAATGCGGGAACCACGATTGAGTGTGCATAGTATCCGCTGGACTAAGAAGCCACACTTGTTATGAAAGATGGCTATTAGAATGAGGTTTGCACAATCTCGCATTGGGTTTAATCAGGGCAGACTCTAACTAATATCGACCACGACGTGATTATACACTATGTCGTTACTCAAGTTATTAAGCTTTCTCTCTATCACCATAGTTGTAGCTCACTTTTACATCAAGAGCAGAACAACTGCCACTCGAAAGGGGTACAAGACCATCCCAGGACCAAAGGGATGGCCTCTAGTAGGCAATGCGCCTCAACTAGGCTCGGCACCACATCGACAAGTCCAACGATGGGCTCAGGATTATGGCGAGATTGTCAAAGTTCGTCTTGGTTGGGAGAACTGGGTCTTTGTCAATAGTCCAGACGCCGTCCGCGAAATATTTGACAAACAATCGGCAAAAACCTCTGGAAGGTCGCCGATGCCGGTGCTCTCTGACCTTTTGTCTGGGAGCAACAGACTCTTACTTTTGACTTACGGGAGTAAATGGCGGCAATTGCGAACGATTGTGCACAAGCTCCTCACGCCAAAAGCCTCGGACATGTACAAGCCATCGCAAGAGTTTGAAGCCAAACAGCTCCTCTACGATATCGCAACCGATAACGCAGACCAAGAAAGTTTCTACATGCATGTGCGCAGATACACAACATCGGTTGTGCTCACCAGTACATACGGACTTCGTGTTCCTAAGTGGGTAAGTAGTCGTTCTTAGATCAATTTCTCTTAGAGGAAGATGTAACTAATCCCTGATTGGAAAACACAGGACTGCGAAGATGTGCGCCAGATTTACGAGCTCTTGAAAGACTTCACTGAAGTTGCAGAGCCTGGCGCTTACATCGCGGATATGTTTCCTCCGCTGGCCAACCTTCCATCATTCCTTCAGTGGTGGCGACCGGCTGCTCTTCGTGCTTACGGAAGGCAGAGGAAAATCTGGATGCATTATTGGAATGGCTTGAAGACGTCGGTGGCTGAGAAAAAAGCCCCAGAGTGCTTCGTGAAACAATTTATGGAGTCAGACTTTGAAAAACTTGGCATCACAGACGTCCAGGCTGGTTTTGTTGCAGGCTGTGAGTACCCTCTCCGGCTCCCTTATTGCTAATGCAGAGAGCTGACTCTTGGTAAAGCCATGATTGAGGCTGGCTCTGAGACAACTTCATCGGCGTTGAATAGCTGCATTCTTTATCTGGCGGCGAATCCCAGAGTGCAGGATATTGCGAACGAGGAGTTAACGCGAGTGATCGGCGATGATAGATCACCAACGTTTGCTGATGAAGCTAATTTGCCCTACATCAGAGCAACTGGGAAAGAGGTCCTTCGTATCCGGCCAGTCACCACAATAGGGAGCCCGCACTACACAACATCAGACGTTGTCTATAAGGACTATTTCATCCCCAAGGATACCGTTGTTGCCATTCCGCAATATGTCTTGCATTTCAGCCCCGACAAATGGACTGATCCCGAAGACTTCAACCCATCACGTTATTTGGCTTATCCTGAAAAGGCTGGCTTTTACGCCGCTCAGGGAGACGCCAAAGCTCGTGACCATTTTGACTTTGGTGGAGGGAGGCGCATCTGCCCTGGCATGCATTTGGCTGAGAACAGCCTGTTCATCACATTGGCTAAGATCTTGTGGGCCTTCAAGATCGAGCCGGCATTGGATCCGAACGGCAACGAACTGCCGGTAGATCTATCCGATGAAGCTTATGAGCCGGGGATCAACACACTTCCCAAACCCTTCAAAGTCCGATTCACGCCACGCAACAACAGAAGAGCTGAAGTTCTCAAATATGAGTGGTTCCAAGCAGAAAGAGACGGGTTCTACTTGGGAAGCGTCAAGGTTGACACGAAGGGCATGGTAGTAGCATAACAGTAGAGCGCGACGGGGAATTAACGGAGAGCGATCCGCCTGTGTTCTGTCTTTCGAGTCATTGGCTGCGTTTCGTCCGAGCTGTAGCATACAAGAGCCACAGGTCCGCATGGGTCCAACGGAGCATTAAGGCCAATAGCAACTAGCATATTTGTACAAATCCTTCTCAGATCCAATGTTCTCAAAGCTGGTGGATACGAATGCGATGAACCCCACACCTTTCCCCGCAACCACCGTGGCAGCGAAGAGTTGATAATAACTTACTGATCAACTTGCTGCGGCGGCCCGCGGGCGTTCCCCGTGTCCGTCTTGGCGCTATTCTGTCGATCTTCGATGACGATGCGGTCTGGTTGGCCATTCGTGGACGATACTCCAACAAACTGAATCGTGCTTCCCCATGTTCTCCCCAACAACGCGATAGAATTTACTGCTCGTCTTACTTTACTCTCGAGATACCCGTCCTACACCTTATCGACAAAGCATTGTATAGTTTGCCTACCTCGTCCATCACCGAACCCAGAAACTTTGTTCTCCATGTCTTCTATCACATCCTTGCCTGCGGACGCGACAGGGCAACTTGAGGCATCGACCGAGACCACCAAAGCAGGGGAGAAGCGCGCTCGTCGTGCTACTCGCCCTTACAAGTGTGCTCACTGCCCCAAGGTCTTCAAACGTAGTGAGCACTGCATTCGTCATGAGCGTAGCCATACAAAAGAGAAGCCTTATGCTTGCCAGTACTGTTTGAAGACGTATTCAAGAAAGTGAGGCTCCCTCGAAATGACCTAGCGCTATTTGAGCAATGATCAGTGATTAATCGATAGGCAGAGATCTCGTGACTCGGCATGAGAAGACCCTACATGCGGAACACAATAGTAAAGTCATCGATGATCCATCCGGCGATGATCCATCCGACGATGATGCATCAGAAGAGGAAACTTCGAGTGAAAGAGATCATGCCCTTAAGCGACATTGCGCCTATCGCACCCCTTTGAGCCAGCCCTCGCTAGGAGATGGCCCAAGGAGAGACTCTTGCTCGTCAACTCTAGTTTCCAATAGTATCGTGGTCGCAACGCAGCACAAGAGCAAGTCGAGAAACACTCAACAATTTCCACCATGCGGGCAGGCAGCTCTCACTCCTCCGCAAACGCACGATACCTCGACTTCGAACTCAGCAGACGCCTTGGATATGGTTTTCGACACGAATCCCGGCACAATCTTTGGCCGTAGTCAGCCGCTAGGCCTACCTATGACCCAAGGGTTTGTCTCTAATCGGCTACGGAATCAACTCAGCGAACATGGAGGCACCACGGACAGGGACCATATGACAAACGGTCACCCCCAGCTTACAGAAGAAGATGGCTCAGGTTTTGGTCCCTTGGACTCTTTTCTCGCAGGTCCAACTTCACAGCCAATATTGCCCATGTCTGAGGAAACCTTTGATTTCACGCACGACTTTGGCTTCCTCGACGCTCCGGACTGGATGGGATTATCATACCCAAACACTGGCCTTGAAGCCTCAAATGATTCCAACACCAGTTCTCTAGAGCAGCCATGCTCATCGGAAAGGAGTCTATGTCAAGCAGGTAAACCGTCCCAGTCGGGAGCCTTGGATTCAAGGCCTCAAGCCGTTTCTGAGCGCAACCTTCCACGACTGCTTGAGAACAAGCGATCTCTGAAGCCAAGTCTCACCATGGATAAGCCCATGCACGACTCAATCTGTAGAGACGTGAATAAGCGGCTTACCGGTCCTGACATATCAAAGGACATTCCCCCCTTGAAGGCTTGTCAAAGCTTCCTCTCTAGTTACGTGGAGTGTTTTCATTGTCACCTACCTTTGATTCACATTCAGACGATTTCGCATGGTGATATTCCTAGTCCCCTGATACTTGCCATGTGCAGTATTGGCGCTTTGTATCGCTTAGATCGCCGTCGAGCACGGCGGCTTTGGGATCTGGCGCTGAGATTGATTGAGCCGGTGGGTTGTCTCTGCTCATGTACGATGATGATTTAGGCGAAATTCAGTACTGATGATTATCTCGCAGATTCTTACGAGAGACTGTCCACTCTGGGTTATGCAAACTAAGTTTCTGTTGACTTTCTTCGCTATTTTCAGTGGCGACAATGACTTGGCGGCCCAGTCAATAGGAGAGAGCAGTCATTATACCTTGGTAAGCTTCAGCTACAATTTGATACTGCTAGAGCCTAGGTCAGAGTCCCTAACTATCACATTTAACAACTCTCTAGTTATACGCAAAGGTCCGGCATCAGCTGCAACACGACAACGTGGATCTTCTGAGTTCAACTTGGGCAGACTGGGTACAACGCGAATCATGGAAGAGACTCCTTGGCGCCATTTACGTGGCGAATACGGTCAATACCATCATATACGGCCTCAGTCCTGCCTTCAATTCCAGCCAGGATCTTGAAATCGAGCACTTCCATGACGAAAACCTCTGGAATGCGTCATCTGCCAACGAATGGCGAGAGTTGCGTGCCAGTTACAGAAAGAGGAACTCGAGAACAACCAAGGATATTCTGGAAGATGTCTTGTCCGAGAACACTGATGATTCCAGATTTGAGTCATACAACATCTCACCATTCTCTGCGCTCATTCTGATGCATGCCGTCTTGATACACACTTGGCAGCTCTCCCAGCTTTGGCAAACCTCGGCAGTTTTCTCCTTCCAATCAAAGACCGGGAGTTCATCTGTGGGGAAATCTCTCCTCGCAAATGTCCTGAAGTCATTGGACAGGTGTCACGGGTTACTGAAGCAAACCAGAGAAGGCCAGCTTGAGGATATGGACGACAACGACATCACATCGCTATGCTTTAGCTCACACGCCATACTCAGGGCAGCTTACATTCGGCTCTTTGACAACACCAAGAGTTTTGATCGTCTCAGTCTGCTCGCAAAAGATCCAAGTACCGTTGACAGCTCCGTCACCATGTTCGCGAACATGAAGCTGGAAAGAAACGTCGACTGTGTGAAGGCCATCGAGAAAACGCTGGAAGGAATTCAGCTACCAGTGAAGATGGGGCATATGCTCATACGGAAAACAGCTGCCTTCCGATGGAGCGTGGAGCATGCGGTTGCAGCCTGGGATAATGGTGAGTGCTACCGTGCAAGTAAAACACAACGTAAATGGTTGAAGCGAGCTAATTTTACAGTCCTCTTCACCACGAAATGGGCGCATTCAATCGAACTAGACATGAGGAGAGGTATCGAGCCCAGTGCGGCCGAATTAGACCTCCTCATGAAGATAAAAGACATCCTCGAGGAGGCAGACTATGATGCAAATGAGAGCGCATCTACCGCTGCAGGCTTAGCTAAAACCTGCAGTCTCTTCCTTCAAGATGTAAGCTCCCCTCTTATTGCCTGTCTCCTCCTCAGGTCATCATTAACAACGTATAACTAGGTATGGGTCTGGGGTATCACAGTGAGAATGGGCGATGTTCTGGAACGATTGGCACGGGCATACGAGCGAGAGATGGAGGCTGCTGGGCCTGCTTGTCAACCTTAGAACCACACTAGCGCATCCTAGTAGACCTGATCTACATCATACCAGACTTCAGGAGGTATATCAAACGTGTACCGTCCCGCCGGCGTGTGATCAGTCATCAACAAACCAACGAACAACCTTGTGTGGGCATGATCCTTCGCTGTGCTGCCCTACTAGCAACAACTCTCCAACTCGGGCCAATCAACTTCGCGATTAGCCCAGCGTCATCATCAGATAAGACGCGGTTTCATCGTCATGAATTCTTGCAAAGCGCATCAAAGCGTAATCAGAGCAGTGTTGTATGGAAGGCGACTGATGAGGCTAGCGCTGGAGTGTCACATAAGCTGCGTGCTGTTGATGCCAGCACCTCCGGATCCCACTTCAAGCGAGCTCAAATACTCTATGCCGCCAAGGCTGAACTGACGAGTCTGTTTCGCAGCGAATACACCAATAGGACTTCAATTCAGCACACATAGCCAATTCTCAAAGCTGGAAGCCGCTGGTTGGGCGGCTTGACGCGTTACTGACGTGATTCTCTCAGCAACCCAATGTGGGGGAGCTACCAAGCTGCTCGAAATCTATGCGGGGTAACGTGGGGTAGCTATCAGGAGCTTCAACAGCAAGACGAGATGCATCACGGGAATCACTCCGGGTGATCCGGCTGCTCGCCTTGAGGGTGTGAAATCGACATCGTTGCTCGTTTGAAGTCAAGTCGATAAACCAGACCCTGCTTCAAGCCGTCAAGTTGATGATATTTCTAAGTCTTCGCTGAAGCTCCGTCTAACTGTTACCCCCGGCGCATCAAGCTCGCCGATCAAACGAACCAATCTTTCCTTGACATCGACTTCATTGCTAGCAAGTCTCGATCTCCAAAAGCACTGAATTATCAAGATTAAGATAAGATGGCTTCAACCGCGGAAGATTTCGTTCACCCGATCATTGGGCAAGTGAAGGGCCAAGTATCCGACAGCGTGATCCAGTTCCTCGGCCTCAAGTATGCTACTCTAGAGCATTGGTTCGACGATGCGAAACTCGTTCAGTACGATGGTAGTGGAATGAACGCTACATGCTATGGGTATGGTTTCCGGATGTTCTTTGGCAATATCAAATCACTTAGTTAATCCCATGTATCAGACCGCAAGCCATATCCGACCCAGAGGGAGTCAAGAATGAACACATGATCATTCAGAAGTCGCTCCCAACAGCCGAGTTCCCCGGTTTGTCGGGGACTGAGTGTCTCAACCTGAATCTGACAGCGCCCCTGAATGTTGGATACTCAGAGCAAGTGCCGGTTCTAGTTTTCATCCACGGCGGAGGCTTCGGCACGGGATCCAACTGGTGGCCTCAGTACGACACTAAGCGCATAGTCCAAAGGGCTAACAAGCTTGGAAAGCCCATCATCGCTATCAACATCAAGTATGATCTTCAACCACATGAGTCGTTCTGACTTTCGCAACTAATATGTCTGTATAGTTACCGCCTCGGGATTCCTGGATTTCTAACATCAAAAGAGCTTCGCAAGGAGGGGTACAAGAGCAACCAAGGCCACCATGATCAGAGGACGGCTTTGGAGTGGGTGGGAAAATACGTGTCGGGATTCGGGGGAAATCCTGAACGTGTGACCGTTGTAGGCGAAAGCGCTGGCGGCAGTAAGTCTCACCCTTCGGTCATTCGGCCTTTCGGTCTCGAAACCGAGAGCGCATCTCTTACTGTTTCTTAGTCTCGGCGAGTCGTCTGTTATACTCTGAAAAAGCTCTTGCCTCTCAAATCATCATCTTGGGAGGCTCGCCGCCGACCCTCGCACCTCTGGATCTCGGAATGGCTGAGCAGGCCTACAAAGGCGTTCTCAAAGCTTCGGGAGCTGAAGATGTGGGTTCGAGTGAACGTATCAAGATCTTGTCAAGGGCATCCGCCGAGGAGCTGTCCTCGAAGATTGGCAGAAGCCTTCCTTTTTTGCCGGTTCTCGATGAAGGAACGGTCCCGTTCGTGCCGACCTTCGAAACAGCGTCAGCTGGGAAGCTAGTTCCCAAGACAACTTCTTGTAAAGCTATCATGGTCGGGTATGCTCCCTTGGATGTGAGTTCCATCAACATCTCGGTCTCTCTCTCGGCTTAATGTTAATAAATCAACCATACAGGCGAGCATATTTGGGTTTATGGGTCTTTTCCAACGCAAGAAGAATATCGCAGCCTCATTCACGCAAATCATCAACGCAGCTTTGTCACACCATGTCGGCACAGCTGCGCAGATTCTGCAGGCATACGACATTAATGACACCACAAATGATGATGAGGCTTTCATCCGAGTTCTGCAGTTCGCATCTGATATCGGATTTCGGGCGCCGGCAGAGTCATTTGCCAACAGCTTTCACGGCGACTCCTATTTGTTGGAGTTTGCCGAGCCCAACCCGTGGGAAGGACCATTTAGGGGCTACAGCACCCACGTCCTCGACGTGGCATTCCTCTTCCAAAACTATAACGAACATCTCGGAGAGACGCAGCGAAAGTCCGCCGAATCATTCGTCACCGATATAATTGACTTTGTTCATGGTCAAGCTCCATGGAAGCGGTTTCAAGATGCCGGCGGGCGGGTGGTGTACCAAGATGGGACGAGAGCATACAAGGAGGCCGGGGCCAGCACGGCACGGTATGATTTGCTACTCGACTTGGGTGAAAAGATTGGGCTGGATACACTCCTGAAGGGTTGGGAGGCTTTCCTGTTCCATCAATAGACCGTTCACGGACCAACTGGAGAGCTCCAGGCGAGGAGATGCTGGTCAAAGGCATCGGGTGGTATGTATCAATGTCTAGAAAAACCTCCCGTATTTTCGGCACGTTTACTGGTCATATTCCCAACGGCCTTTTCCTCTGTGGATTTGTGATCAAAACACCAAACACTTGCTGCCTCAAAAACTTATGTGTGGCACCCTTTCACTATGTCTGTGTGCTTTCGACGATCGCCGGAATTCCTGATCAGTACCTTCAAGCGAATGATCACGAGATGATAGTTCAGCTGCAGTTCAACGTCGAAGCAGAGGGTGTGAGTGTGTTTATGTGTCTCTATGTGTGTGTGTCTTTGCCGCGGAAATAGTCACCTGATGCGGGGTCGACTTGCGAAGATAGAGCTCCTGACCGCGGGGAAACCACTATTACTCATCCAGTGTCCTCCACTTGACACTTGGTCTTTCGTCCGGTGTATCCTATCCCACGGAGATGACCTAAAGCTCGGATTACAGTTGGGAATCCTGCCAGAATTAGCGTAACTCTGTTTATTCTTTCCTATGCCATTAGAATTACAATGGCGTATACACTGGAAAGCAAATCTCTGGGCTCAACTCTACGTGGTGTTGGTTTAGGGACGATCGCACAGTTTAGAGGCATACCGTATGGCAAAATTGTTTCGCGATTTGCGGAACCCGAGCCAATAGTGGCCTTGCCGCAAGACATCAACTGTACTGAGTTTGGGTACGTTCTTTTGACGTTCGGTCTGAACATGCCACAGAGTTTTCGGTGAAGGAAGGCTGACTAGTTCTCGTGTTCACAGCCCTCGGTGTCCTCAAGTCAAGGTTGATGTAGGGCATCTATTGCGCATACCTCCTGAGCACAGGCTACCCGTTGAAGCCGAAGACGAGTTTCGATGCCTCAACTTGGACGTTACGGTGCCCAAACCACAAGAACTACTGAGCGACCAAAGATTACCTGTTTTGGTCTGGATACACGGTATGCTTGTCAACAAAAGGGGCCGATGTTTTGACTAACACAGACATCTCAGGCGGCTCACAGGCGGTTACTTTTGGAAGCGCGGCCTCCGGCGTGTGCGGTACGAACTGCGCCCTCCTCTCCGCTATGTCCCCTTATCCGTACCCAAAGATCCTTCGTGAAATGTATCGCATTAGCGCTAGCATACTAGGCACTGACAACTGCAAACTTAGACACGAGAAGAATTGTGGAAGATTCCGTGAGCTCGAGTAAACCCGTCATCATCGTGACAGTTCAGTATAGACTGAACATCTTCGCGTTCGGAAGCGAAAGTAGCTCGAGTAATCTCGCCCTGAAAGATCAATCATTGGCTCTGAGATGGGTCACTGATCACATTCCGGATTTTGGAGGTGACCCGGTAACAAGTCACATTCCCATCAGCCAAAGGCGGGAAACCACTGACAAGCTTCCGTAGAATGATGTCTCACTGGCTGGAGAAAGTGCTGGAGCGGTATACTGCCACGCCCACTTGGCGGCCGGCCTTCGAGTGAGAAGAGTCCTACTCTCTTCCGGTTCGTTGTACCTTTCTCCTCCTCAGCCAAGGGCAAAGGCTTCCGCTCTACGCCAAACACTCCTGAATCACCTTGGTACACTGGGTGACTGTGACTTAAGCACAGCCCCTGTTGAAAATCTGATCAAGGCCATGGAACTGGCTGGAATACATTCGTGGTTCCTCCAGGTGGATCCTTCTCTTATTGGGTGGGAGACAGCAATAGGGGCTGCGGAGAGCGTGATGATAGGTGATGTTCAAGATGAGGTATGTGGTGTACCCCTGGGCTCCAACTAGTTGTCCTTCTTTCAATTAACGTTCACAAACAGGCCGTTCTCTGGCGTGAGGGCATATGGAAAATGGAAGCTTCTGAGATTGATCGGGCTTTCAACTATGCCGGCGAATATCAGGACACGCTCAAGAATCTCTACAACATTCATGCTGACAGAAGGTCCTCTTCCAAGATAGGGGCATTGGACTTCATGAACGACTACAAATTTCTTCTCCCAGCGGAGAACATTGCTCGCCTATTTAGGGCAGCAAACAAACCCGCCTATCGATATCTCGTCGATGAGTGCAATCCCTGGCAGTCCTCAAATGGAGCTCATCACGCGGTGGACTTGCTTTTTCTATTTGGTGGATTCGATCTTTCATTTGCTCCTGGTGCACAACAGACTGGCAAGCAGATGCGCAAATCAGTGATCAAATTCCTTCACTCCCAGGAGCCATGGCAGTTGGGTAGCTATGCAGCGTTCGGACCTTACGGAATGTTTCAAGAACTTGATAGCGCCGGCGTCAAGCTCCGAAGACGATCGGAACAGGCGGAATTTCTGCATTCAGTTCCTTCAGAGATCTTGGATAAGGTGTTCTTTGCCCTCGCCGCCGGGAGAATTAGCTTACTAAACTGATTGCATTTACAAAGCGCGTCACATTAGTACGAAAACACGTACGAGTAGTAGTCCAGTAGTAGTGTGGTGGTTTCAATATTTCCAAAGTTTGGCGAATCTTTCCAGAATTGATTTCCCAGATTCCCGCTATTGTTGGTACTGCCCAGAATCGGAGACGTATGACTCGTCCGACCAGACTTGACAGCATCTTGGATCGCTCTGATGCCAAACTAGACTAAAATGTGCTTGTGGCCTGCCCTGCAATACGTGCGTTCATGGACCATGTCCATATGCCTGCTCGTGTCGGCCTCTCAAGATGCTACCACCTGCCTCACATGGGTCCTCTTTCCGACGGGACGACGGTTGCGGGGTTTAACTCGCTGCTTTTTGACAAAGAGACTCCGCAAACCGTTCGATTTTTGAAATACAGCCATGCCGAAAATAGTCAGGCCAACAATCAGTGGGCCACCTAGGTGCCTGATGAAGAGAAAACTAAGGCAATCTAATTAGATAGTACCCCATGTGGGGGACACACACAACATTGTTACATCGCTGGTTGATGGATGGTGGGGTCCACGGGTGTTTGTGGAGGCTAAGTCCGGCGAGCGTTCATTCTGGATGTGGAGGAGTTCCGGTGCCCGCGCCGGTGATGGGCGCGGGGGAACGGGGATTATGCGGTATTCACATGAGACGTAGACTGAGTGAGCAACGCATCATCGAATGTAACTTCCAACGAATTCATAACTGCAAAGGTTCTTTTACTTCAAAAAAAGACCCTGAGTGTACTCCGTTCCCTACAACCACAGATGCACACGCCCTACTGTATCTTACATTTGACCTGAACCACGCATCATTACACGTACGGGTACACCGTATGTCAAATTTACTAGATAATTATCTTCCGAGTGAATCCTCCCGAGCCTCCTTTCTTCGCAATAACCCCCTAACAATTGGGTGACCGAACCTTCTTTGACAAGCACACCTCCCCCTACTCTGTACTGACTAGCTAGCCATGTCCCCAGGGCTGAAAAATGTAAACACGCTGGCCTGTCCACTATCAAACTTTGACTGAGCATACCGTTTAGGTTATCATTGTCGGGGCCGGCCCTGCTGGGCAGCTGCTAGGGCTGCTTCTGGGGCGGGACGCCATTCCCGTTACGATCGTTGAGCAGACATTGGAGCTCGACGATAAGCCGAGAGCCACACACTACGCTCCACCGGCGATGAAAGTCCTGAATCGTGCCGGGCTGGGGAGCGACCTGCGGAAAGACGGGTTTCTTCCCGATGGAGTCGCATGGCGCAAGCCAGACGGGACGCGCATTGCGGGCATCAGCAACGAGATTGACGGTGATGATCCAGATCGCATGGTTGCACTGCCCTTGTGCGACCTGGCGCGGTTGATCTACGATCACTCGAAGCATCTGCCATCAGTCACGTACCTGTTTCATCATCGGGTGACAGCCATCGGTCAAGACGATTCCCGTGCCTGGGTGGACGTGGAGAACGGGGACACAGGGGACAAGTCACAGCTTTTTGCGGACTTTGTTATTGGGTGCGACGGGGCTAACAGCATTGTCCGGCGATCGCTGTTTGGGAACGAATTTCCTGGTAGGACATGGGACGAGCAGATCGTGGCCACGAACGTAGGTTATACCCTCTTTCGGCCCGTTGTTGATGTGGTCCTCTTGATCGAGCAGTCCGGGTGCTCAAGTGTCAGGTCGACGAACTGATGAGCGCTCACAGGTCTACTACGACTTTGGCCGCTTTGGCTACACAGACTCCAACTTCATTCTGGATTCGAAGGACTGGTTCATGGCGGCCAAAATCACCAAAGACGGCCTATGGCGTGTAACGTATGGCGAAGCTACGGGCTCGACGTCCGAAGAGATTCTCGGCAGGCAGCCGGAGAGGTTTAGAAGTATACTACCTGGACACCCTAAACCGGACGAGTACAAGCTCGTCAGTATCAGCCCATACAAGGTCCATCAACGGCTAGCCAAGAGAATGATTGCCGGCCGGATTTTGCTCGCTGCAGATGCAGCGCACCTCTGCAACCCCTTGTAGGCATCTTTGCTCTTTTCGCTCGGTAATTTCCGTGGCCCGTAGCGCGCAGGTTGTGCTGACGATCGTCATGGTAGTGGGGGTCTCGGCCTCACCGGCGGCATCGTCGACGTCGAAGGTCTCTACGAGTGTTTGTCCGGGATATATCGCAATAAGGCGAGCCGGAGCATTCTGGAAGTCTACGACCAAGTGCGTCGACAGAAGTATCAAGACATTATTGACCCGATATCCAGCGACAATTTGCGACGCATGTTCAGCGTCCACCCTGACGAGGTGCTGGCTTCCGACCCGTTCCTCAAGCTTTGCAAAGACGCTGAATCAGATCAAGAAAAGCTGAAAGAATTGAGCAAGGTGAGTTTGGATGACAGGCCACTCTGACGTTTTGATCGTTATTTCTTTTCAGTTTCGCAGTTAGGCTTACGAAAAGGTTCTACTGGCAGGGCGCACAAGCACTTGGCTATGACTTTACGAAGCATTACACTTCTGGAGATGGTGGTGTAGGAGGAGGAGTAGGTACTCGTCTTTAGCAACAAATAAGCTGAGCTAGCAGCAAAAAAAGAAGACTCACCGGCCTAAATCGATTGGTTCTCGGGAGAAGCCGAATCAGCACAGCAAAAAAAGACCCGGCACTGGGAACATTGTTTACCGCAATAGGCTAAATGCAAATATGCTCGATGTTGTCGAATCTTTGACAATGCATGAACTGTCAAACTGAACCAGCAGAATGGTAGCTTCTGCCACACCGTTGGTCAGCCCTGTGCGTACTGGCTACTAAGGATGAATTGCCGACAACTAAACTTTTGAAAAGCGTCACAGACAGACTGCATTCGGGACACCCGATGGCAAGCTCGTCCAAGCACACGAGATCTCGCAACCCACAAGGGGGGGAGGGTGTGTAGGGAAAAACTCTGATCGAAAGAAACAGCGACGAGAAAACATGGACCTCTGGGTGATCCGTTTCTTCTGCTCTGCACAGAGTCGGCTCGCAACTGTGCCCTCTCAAGGGAAGCAGGGAGAAGACAAGCGCCGTGAGCCATAATAAGCGCAGGACCTGTCAAATCAACGAGAAGCGCAAAGAAAGTTCGCCGGATGTTCGATCTCACGGTAATTCGCTTTCGCTATCCCTAAAAGCTTCTAGTTCATTTAGCTTTGCGCAACCTAGGGGAAAATAGCTACCCGTACAAGCCTCTCGAATGATTCCCCGGCAAGTGGGCATTTTTGGCTAGTTCTTGTCTGGCAATACCTCCGCTTACCAGGTCGCCGTGCAATGGCTGAACCTTAATAAAGACATATCACGGAGCGGTCCGATTGGGAGGGAACAATGATAGGTCGGCCAGTACGGTGACCATCACTTCTCACTTATACGCTGCAAGTCTCAAGCGGCATGCCAGCATGCCAGCGGGGGATTATACGACAGGAATGGATGTGGAAGATAGCACATAGGGATCCGTGAGGAAGTGGAAGGGGGTGTGGGCTGGCGATAGTCAAGGGTGTTCCTGTTTGACCGAGCCTGAGATTCATGTCGACCTAAAAGAGACATGTGAAACCACATAGCTGCCCGAAAAAGGGCATACATAAGGGAAAGAGGATGAAATGTTCGGGGGAATTTGGCATCTAGTGTCGGCGGCTCAACTCATAACAATAAGGTTTGAGGCTGCCCCCCGAAGGGCGCATTTGACGGCAATTTGAGCCCACCGGCAGGCTTCTCTCGGGTTCGCTGGCGCTGGTGTGCAAAAAAAAATAGAAGAAGAAGCTGAGGCCAAGAAGTCGGTCCCCGGTCCAAATTCCACGAGAAGAGACGGACGGTTGAATAGCAGCCCTAACAGCGAGAATTGTGGCTGGGCTCAGACTGACTGTTTCCAGGCAACCTTACTGGGACGGGGATGACGTCGGCTAGCCGACGCCACGTAAACTCTATTTGTATGACGCTTTTTCTTTTTTTTTGTTCCAAAGGTTGAGCCCCTGTTCGTGTTATGTATGTACTACGTACTGGTGTGTGGTGTGCCCCTGTGTGTGTCCTCTGAGTGAGAGTATAAGTGTGTGTGTATCGGCGACGCTAGTCCACCAGTCAGTCAAGTCAGTCATGGACTCATGTCAAGTCTATCGGGTCATACAAGGGGTTAACTCGGGTTCAAGCGTCACTGTCACGATTCTGACTTGCAGTAGTGTTGAGTTGTAAAAGTGTCAAGTTGCGAAAGGTTGCTCGACGAAAGGGAGACTAGGCCGAGCCAGCCCGTTTCTCGGGCATGCTTCCGTAGCAGTGCAGCAACAGGAGCAGTAGCCAAAAACACGTGAGGAGAAAACCTTTTGGTCGAGCCGTTTGCAACTGTGGCTGTGACGGCGCCGCTAATAAATAAAACAAGCGACGAAAAGTGTATGATGCCGAGGCGGATCGTTCTGCCCAGTTCCACCCCCCCCTTCCGCCTCGGAATTTCTGCCCACGCAGCAATTCGGTTCTGTCTGCCCATCGACGATCCTTGCTCGACCAGGTTAGGCTGGCGTTTGATGGGCTAGACTCTGGCTACGTTCTCCTCGTCTCTCTCGACTGATGCTCACTCGCAACACACCCACCGGGCCACGGTTCACCACCCACACCTCTCGCCCTCAGCCATAGACACATGTATACACACCCAGGAGGAGGAGAGACTAAGACAGGCCCGGCTTACCTTGCTTTGGCACAACTGACCCCACCTCCAGAGCAAAGACGAGCAGGAAGGTGGACCCTGAATATCTCTCACAGTTCAGTTCACTGCGTCCTCGTTCTCTTCTCCGCCGTTAAAACTGTGCTGGCCTCCCACACTCTTCGGTTGAAAGTTGATGCCTGGTGCCGTTACCCGCCCGCAGGCCAGCTATGATACCCAGTAATCAACCGTTTGACAACGATAGAGACAAGCTTCGATCCGTTCCTTCTTTAGGCTGTCTCTTTTGACACGTTTTTTGGTTCCTTTTTATTCTTCTTGATCCTTTAACCCTCGGCAAACGGTTGTCGATTCTTTCGATTTACCGTCGTCAACCCACCCGGACATGGTGTTGAAGCGCCGACTAGTTGATTTCCAGCGCGAACAAGATCCCTTTGCCGTCAAGGTGTTTCTCCCGCCGACCGATCATTACCGCCAACGCAACTGGATCATGACGTCCCCGGAGCAGCAGATGGACACTCTGCGAGAGGGTCTTAGCCGGGTGATTCTAGACCAGCTTGCGGAAACCCTGCGGGATTATTCGTCTGGAAACTTGGCAAATCCGGTGCTTCGATTTGAAGCTTTCATCCAGGACGGCGAGCCGGGAACGCAGGGGCAAACACCCCGCTCTCCCGTGGTCTCGGTAAGTTGCATCTCCATGTTTATCATCGCGGGCTGGACCGCGCGTTGGCGCCGGAATTCGTGCAAGTGTTCAGCTTTCGTGCTGCCCGTGGGACTCCAGTTCTACAGCGCAGACTATCCCGGAGATACCCAATCAAGACAGATAAAGAGTGGATGACTCAGCATCGACTGATTTACTGCTGGGTCTATTTCACTTGCTCCTCCGTGTTGTGGCATGGGTGGTTGGGTAGTTGGTTGGGTACGAGAGGTTTTTCTGCTAACCACCACCACCAACTATACAGAAAATGGTAGACTTGTCTGGCATCATTTCACAGAGCGCAAATAATAGCCCGAATACGAGCAATGTGGGAAGAGAAAACACCATCGAACACCCGACACCGCCCACCATCAGCCCGCAATTGATGATGGACGACGTCGCGGCAAGCGCCAGCCGGGCATTTGTCCGGACACAACGGACGCCATCCCAAGGACCACCGCAAATATCACCCGAGACCGACGCAAATGCTTTTACTCAAAGAAGAGGAACGGGAGCTCTACGACCAGTCAGAGGAGCCCCAGTGGAGGAAGAGCAGCCGGATAGTCAGAGGCACATGCAGGTTGCCAACCACTTTCCCAAACGCGCAAAGATTCAAAACGACGTTGTCTTCATCCCGCAGCAGTCCTCCATTGACAAGTTCGTCGTCAGCGTCTGGGAGCAGATCCATGGCGGCATCAGCTTAGATCCGCAGAGTCTGTTGGAACAGTGGCAGCTCACGGCAACGGCGGCAACAGCAACCATCAACAACGCCGGCAAGATTCATGTCCCCGAGCAACTTGAGCTCGGCTTGCTCCAGGCGCCTTCGGCAGACGGCACGTTGACTGAGATCGATATGGAGGGAACCTTCAACCGCAGCAACATCTTTTGCCGAAAGGTTACGCAAGCCAGCCGCGCGTGCCGCTCGATCGAGGTCATTGTCCAAGCGCGGTGGATCGAGCACTTCGACTCGTATGTTGAGCTGCTCGCCATCACGAACCCGGGCATGTCCCCCACCAAACGTCGTAAGGCGGCGCTCATCGAGGCGTGTAACGACTTTGGGTGGTCTGAGAAGGAGTTGCGGAATAAGATGGCTATCTGGCGCGGCTACAAAGAGATCAAGGATGCGGGAGGTTGGGCCGCGCTCGTCTTCGCCGGCATGGGACTCTACCGCTTCTGCAAGTACCGAGTTGGATTTAACCCGGATAGCATGCAACGACTCCGGTACCTTCGGCCGCGAATCGAGGTCGCGGCGGACACGCTGCACCCCACGTGGCGCCAACTACTCATGATCGTCGGCGAGGGCGCGCAGCGTCGGTTCTGCGGCCACCCGCATGACTGGGTTGTCCGCCAGGACGGTTCGGATCCCGTTCCGCTCCGGTCGACATATCTCGAATACGACCCTTACTTCAGCTTCGAACAGCTCGAACACTCCGTCATGGACATGAGCGCGTGGGGCACCGATGACCCGCGGTGGGTGCCGCCGATGAACGCCGTAGCTTGCGTCCAGGGCATGCACACATGTCACTCGTGCGGCCAGGAGCAATCCGAAGACCCCAAGATCAACTCATGCTACTGCTTCCCGACGCTATTCGGGTCCGGGCGCCGGAGCCCCTGCCCGGTGCAGGTGTTCCGGACCTCTGATGGACGCAACAACGGCCTGATGGCTCTTTGTCCGTTTGAGCGCGGCGCAGCGATAGGAGAGTTTGTCGGCCTCATCACGAAAGATTTGCAAAACATGGATGTCATGGACAGTTCGACTGGTGTACGCGCCTACCAAATCTGGCAGGGACGACAAGGCAACTTTACGAGGTTCGTCAACCACAGCTGCAAGTCCAACGCGCAATTTCAGCAGTTCGTGTGGATGAGCACACAGCGCATCATCCTGGTGAGCAAGGGCATTGAGGCGGGGCACGAGGTCACGGTGGATTATTCTGGGAGCTACTGGCGCGGTTTGGACAAAGAATGTCTCTGCGGAGAGTCATGCTGTCGGTATAGGAACGCAGCTCGATAGGAGGAAGGTAAACGCGATGGAGCAGTCTCCGTCCTCTGCATCCATAGAGGAGAGTTATTACTACGAAGATTAGCGCGAGGCGGGAAACGGGATTGAGTTAAGCCACAACACACACACGGACGAAGCGGCGGCGGAGGCTGCGGCTGTGAGGGGGGTGAACAAGACCCGATTCTCATGTTCCAGTGGAAAAAGAAAAGATTAATCGCAACTACCGATCACGTTTTTACGATTTTAGGATTAGTCTTCGGGGTAGAGATACAGACGCGGACGGGTAGGCGAACAGATGCTTCAGGTTATTGATCGCAAGCCTTTCCTTGTTCCTAATCCCATTTGGTTAAAACATCCGAAGTCAGATTGACCAGTCAGCCGCCGCAGCATCCGAGACTGACAACATTCTTCCCTCCCTTCTTCTTGATCTCCGCGACTGAGTCGACTGAATCAACTGAATCGAGTGAGTTGATGTTCTACCTAGCGAAGGGATGGAGGGGGCATAGGGTCGGGGAGGGGGCATAGGGTCGGAAAGGATGGGACCATTCCGAGCGCCAGGTTGTGAAATTTAGCCCATATGCCACCTGTAGATAGATTCCGCTTGGTCTACACTACATTCCAGTCCTCGCTAAACCCAGCCATGTGTCCTGTCCGTCTGTCCATCTCTCCAGCCGTCTGTCTCTAGCTCACTGGCTCGCAGAGTTCGTGTCAGCTAGCGGGTTCCAGGTTTGTGCCAACGCCCTGCGCTAAAGCGGCTAAAACGTGCCCCTTGAATCGCAATGCTTTCGAACTACATTAGCTCGGGCCGCCGTTCCCCGACCAGCATTTTCATCTTGGGTCCCTTTTCCCTATTCAACTTCCGCCAAAGTCTCTTCTTCGACCACTACGACGACTAGAAATTTTATACTTTGCAAAAAGTACGGCGGACTAGCCCGTTCTCCCTTCTTGGAGTCTGTCCCGAAGCTTTGAAGTTCACCCCGAGGCGGTCTGTGAACCATGGGACCGCCGCCGCGTCAAACAGGGAAGTCAGGTCTGGAAGCCCTGTGTGTTCCGAGGCTTATGAACGAACCCTTTTTCCCGCCTGCTCGTGAAGTGGGAGATGGCCTTATTCTTTTTTCATCGCTGCGTCCCGCTATCCGACGGGAGTGTAATAAGCTTCAGCGCTTCAGCAACGGGCGTGTAACAAAATCTTGACGTAATAGAGAGTCCACTGGATCTCGTTCCTCGGACGATAGGTCTTGTCCGCCCCGGGGACCCAATCTCTTCTGTGTCCCCCTTCCCAGCCAGCCTTTGGGCTCCTGTTAGGAACTCGTTGGAACTCAGAACCTCGTACCCGAAAACTTTAGCTCTTAGCGGATGTGTCTGCGATAGCGAGATAGGTATGCGGGTGTGGGACTGTATTGCCCATCAGATTCAGTAGGCTGTTGTGGGCTCGGTAGTAGGCTCGGTTGGTCTTGTGGCGCCTCGTGTCTTTCGTCTCTCTCGTGTCAACTATGCGCAGACCGTTGCCTTTACAGTTTCGACGGGTTTGCAGGATTCCTCATAATGAGAACTAGAAGGATATTGACAGCTACTAGGCGTCGACGCTAATAAATGCTGCTCCTCATCACTGGCGCGCGTGAACATGTGTATTACCTCGCGCCGGCTACCATCATCTCACAGCTCAGGGGGCGCATCAGGGGGTGCTAATGAGCCACCAGTGCCCGAAAATAACAATCATGAGCACTAGAAGACCAAGACCGAGGATCTCGAAAATCCCCCGCATAGCTATACTAGCAAGATGAGGATCAGAGTCCATGTGGCTAACGAGCTAAGGAGTGATCATGCATCTCGGGCCTCATCCGGGAGTCTTCCCGCTCCTCTGACACCGTGTCCCTCAACCGCTGGTTCTTACTGGCGCCGATGCCAATGCTCACCACTGATCCATCCCGCGCTTGACACATCGGCATATCGCAGTTAGGGGGAAATACCACACTTTCAGATATTGTCGATGCGCAGAGGCCCTCGCAGACTTCGCTGGGGCAACTATTAGCGGTAGGCTACGTAGACAAGAATGAACAAAGACGCTACGCAGCTCAGACCGGAAATCTCACGATGACAGAAAGGTCTCGTGACGGACGGCGTCGTCTCACACTACTGCAGGGCACAGAGAACCGGGCAAGTAGCCTTTTTCGAGCTGACACTTCTTGGGCAGCTCGAACCGCACCGATGCGTCCCCGAACCTGGGTTGACCGTGTAGCAGTCAGACAGTCTTTTGCCCGTCTCCTTGGCGTCCCATGGTCCTCGTCAACTCTGAACTGTGTAATCGCCTGTTTTGACATGCTTCCCTCACTTCCAGAAGATGGGGCTGACCACACCCACCCCCCTTCAGGCTCCCCCCCTTCTCTTCACCAGACATCACGCTTTGACGAACGGACATTGGAAAACGGCCCATTTAGACCGTTTCGCTTTGGTGTTCTCGGATGGTTCTTGATGGCTATTTCTAAAAAATTGCCGAGAACGAGAGCCGTTGAACAAGTTCAAGAGTGGGCTAAGTAGTACAAGTCTAGCGATAGTGGTGCTGAGGATCCCGCCTACGAAGTTCGGCGGAGACGCCGTCGGGCACTAACAGCAGGAGAGAAAGGTTCTTCATCCTACCAGAACACCCCCTGGTTACGAGTTCGCCAGCACGTACCAGCCAGCATTATCTGTCTGGGCCTGATAATCGACTTTTATCATCAGTCAAGTAGTTAAGCCAGATGTTGTCCTTCCTTACTGTAGGATGAAACTCTGTCCTACCCTGTGTCCAGTTCTTCGAAATGCTGTTCCGCAGGGTAGGCAAGACGTTGGATTTGTGTGACGAGGCCCTGTGGTGCTAGGAAGCCTATAGACATGACCATGTTCGTCTGTTGAGCTAATTACTTACAGCGTGAACCAATTTTACCCAGCTCCGGTCCACCCCAGCATCACCAAACATCCCAGATTCCAGCATCCAACAACCCAAGAAAACTTTTTGCAACGATCGATCGAATCCCGTCGACTGAACAATCCCCTCTCTCCATCACTTGATACTCCCCTTCATCCGGGACCTTGGCCAGAGACTTCCGGGCCCAAGAAAGTTGTGAACTTTGGCTCTTTGGATCGTCTCGCTTCCCCCCAGCCATCGATGGAATTGCTACCCAACAAACTTCTGCAGGAGCGAATAAAAGGCGATGATGGCTCGGCCATATCTCCTATTCGGCCAGAAAAAGAAACATAAACCTGGCCAAGAGAAGTCAGCCAGCAACCAAGGGAAGCCAGGTTCCGGGGCTGAGAAGCAGTACTGCAGTGTCACGCAACAATCACGATCTGCTCCCGCCGGGAACGAACTCCCGGTCGTTATGCCACACTGGCAGGCAATCAATGTCTCATCGATTCCCCTCGACGGACGACTCCGGGGGCATGCAGTTAGAGGCCAATGGCATCCAAGCGGTTCCCGCCGGCTGTGCCTTCGTCGGGACAACTCGCGGCAAGGCCCCTATTGGCCGAATGCCGGGATCAGTACGACGCGTGAATATAGTGAAAGTCTTGTTGCAAGTTGTCAGCCACAACTATGCAACATGCGGGCGATCGTGGTACGACTGTTCGAGTTGTCGGAGTTGCCTAACTAAGCTCTTGGTGTCAGGCAAAGTAGTTGACAGAGTCAACTCCAACAAGCCAAGAAACAGCGTTGGAAGTCCAAAGCCTTTCGCTATCAGTCCCTTGTCTCTACTAACCAAAACAATTGGTGAAAACATGACCTCGACCGAGGAATGCAGGCTCTAGGAATTTGCGAGAAATATCGAGACCTTCCCAGGTTGCTAGGAGAAAGAGTCAAATTCAAACCAGTAAGCAAGATTTATTTGTTCCACGAAGATTTTGCACTTTGATCTCGTAAAATCTGGGAATGTTGAAGAGTCTTGGCTAACTGCGATCTTTCTTCAATTAGCAATTTGCACACTTTCCAACGACGCGACTGGACGAGAATACAACTTAGGATTGCTCTTCTTTGTCGTCTGCACGAGTTTCGAAGTTCGTTGACATTTTGATTAATATTTGTCATAAAGTCTCGTTGAGTCTGCTTGTGGCAGTCAGGGCAACTTTGTAAGTGCCAATTTCCAATAATCAGTTGTTTCTGACAATTCCTGCCAATTACTGATCGGCAGGCTAAGTGTTGGAAACATCTGCTGTCAAAGCCTAGTGTATTGTTCAAGAACGTTCAGAGGGCGACAGATTGTCATTCTCGTGTCCTGTGGTTCATGGAGAGGCAAGTAAGGCTATTCAACGGTAGGCCGTGTCTTGTAGGATGATTCAGAACGTCGCGGAATCGGTGGCGACAGCACAAGAGAGTAGCTGCAGTTATTCAGTTTCGCTCTCCTACGACTCGCACGTTTCCGAAAATTACAATACTGAGACTTGCAGGTTGCCTTAGTGTCGGCTGAATCGAAAAAGCGCATTCCCGCGGACCCGGCTAGAGAGTCCTAGAACGATGTTGACAACCGCAGTAGTCGCACGACGTCTTACACAAGTGTCTCACAAACATTTATGTCAAGTTTTACACAATACGAATACGGAAAATAAAGCAAACAACGAACCAATGGCAATTCTTTGGCGGACTATACCAGCGAATCAGCGCCTTTTCACGATAACCTGGGAGAAGCCTGGACGTTTCCATGCTTTGACCTCGCAGGCTTTCCCTCTCTTTCTCCCCTCAAGTTCGCAGCGTAGACCAGATCGGATGGCTGACAGCGTTTCTAGTTCCTACAGATTTATATCAAGTCACGTGCGGAGCCTCCTATCGAATTTATGCACAACGAGCGACGGAAGTCTGTAAAGTTCTGTTCGTCGGCTTTACAGAGCTTCTTCGTAAGTTCAAATATTTCAAAAGCCGATACAATCGAATCCGCGGGCGCCGAGCCTACCCCAACGAGCCGATTTCAGATATTCCCAGCGGTGGTAATTCCTAGTGGAGAAGTCTACACATTGTGCTATACCAACAACGTCCCCAAGAGTTTGCCTGGCAGTTGTGGCCAATCAATACTATTTGGGTTGAGCAAATAATGGCAACTCGCGTTGGAGAGCGCTGAGATGAATAGAAGAGGGAAAAAAGGGCCCCTTTCCTGATTAGGCGATTACCTGCTCAAACACGCTCACGACCGAACGTTTTACACGACGCCACATCTATCGCAGTGAGCAGAATAAATAAAACAGAGACATAGATATATGATCGAGGCGTTTTCCCCAGACTTTTTGCGGGCGTTCGTGAAGAAGAGCAGTATTTCTGCAATGATCGCCGGGCGTGTGCAGACAACGTGAATTGACATGGAATCCTCAAACATACGAGGCAGAGCACAGAGCAACTGCAGCGGTTCAAGCCGCTCGAGCGCGTCGACGGGTTCAGCGTCGGTGACGCAGGAAGCGTGAGCAAAGCCGCTACTCCCACTTTCTTCGTCTATCTTCGTCTGAGGCTGGACACACGAAGGAGAGGTAGCTGCAGGGAACATATGCTAACGGCCTTGGTAGGAGACATTTCATCTTTGACCGAGGTTCGTCGATTACATGCAGGCCAGGCCGGCCGAGACGAAAAAAGCACGCGGGCGATGTCGCTCGGCAAAATGGTCCAATTCTCTACCCAGTTTGGGCAATGATTTCGCTGACGATTGGGAAACCTACGGGTTTCTGGGACAGATTGGTATCCCGACGTGCCGCTTGTTATCCAAGCGAATCAACTGATTATCGGGCGTCTTGGGCTGGGGCACACGCTGCCGGAGCTCGTCGCGGAGTCGGCGAGGAACGAGGCGGGCTGTCACCCGGGGACGATGGCGGCGTACTTTCACCATGCGATTACGCTGGAGCTGGCGTGTTTGATGAGCAATGATATGGTTCAGATGGCGATTGTCAAGGGCGTTAGGATATGAGCCGGCACCGACGACAGGCTGTTATTGAGCTTTTCTGGGCGCGCCTGGGCACGAACGGCGTTCGATCTTTGGTATTCTTTCGGCATTGTTGGAAGACGAACTCTTGGAGGAAGAGCTGCACTTGTTTGCTGGCTAGGATTTACCGAGAGCGAATACTGCGGTGGTTATCAACGTATCACGGCGATCGAGCTGGTTCTCGGCAGCAATCGGAGTTGCAGTTTAGGGACAGGCCTGGATCGCAAATGCTACTTTAGGCTAAATTGATTTGAGCGACGATATCATTATCTTCAACCCAGGTCAACGTTGAATAAAGCCATATCCGTAGACCATTGAAACGGGTCATGGCAGACCTTATCTTGCCTGGCTTGTTTTGTGCTGTTGCTAGGCTTGGAGGAAGAAGGTCGTCAACATGGGAGAAAAAGAGAGAGTGCATTAGTTGCCTACGCAGTAGGTAGGGTGAGGGCTATCTTTAGCGACATTCGCTAGAAAGCTTCAACCGGAGCGATGGGAAGTTGCCAAGGAGATGTGCCTTTCAGTACTGCTTCCCTTCGCACATTTCGCGCATTCGTCGCAGGAAATATCATATCAGCAGTGACTCGGTATTTAGCCCAGCTTACATGTGACCTTGGACCGGACTCTGCGTAACGAGACTACTTTAGTCTTGTGTGATGGATGAGCGACTTGACCTCAAGAATGCCAACGACGATAGCGCCCCAAGCACGACGCACTAAGGGGCCTAACAGGTGCCAGCATGGGAATGCCGCGGTTTTCTGTACTTCACCAGGCTGAATCAATGGGAAACCGTCTTTTTTAGGGCAGAGGGACAGGCCAATTCGGGGCTCGAGCTGGTAAACTGGCTGCTGAAGGCATAAATACGTGGCTTTTCTTTGTTATCCCGGAGCCAAAAATTTGCGTTGGACAGCTCCGAAATCGGTTACTGTCAGACGGAGTCCTTCAAAGGCCGTGGATCAAACGTGTTGAACAGGACAACGGCGCGACACCAAGAAATTAAAAGCTACCTAGGTAATGGAAATCGACCAAACCAGAAAGATTCGCATCGACACTTTCAAATCCAGGAGGAAAGAGATGTTCGCAGCGTGTCCGACGACGGGAATAAACGGCCAATTGTTCAAATTGACGCAGCGGCATTTTCGAATTGAGGGTGTCGCGCGAGATCACAACAGCCAGAAGAAGTCGAACCGACCGCGCTGTTGCATTTTTAGTTCAACCCAGGCAAAAGACCACGAGTGATGGATGACACGGAGATCTCGCGATGTTGTGTTCGTTCGCGTATAACTGCGTACAGCATTTGGTACCTTGTGTTACGATCATCAGTTTACCATTCCTAGACGGGAGCGTTTGTGTCACCAGTAGATACGCTTCTAGAAAGTCACACAAACGCCATCCAGTGATGGTGGCCAAAGTCTAAAGGGAGTCTACTGAGGGAAACAGCCGTGAGTGATGTTTAGGAAGCAAAATCCAAAGTTCGGGTAGGACGAAACGTTGTAGCAATTTGGGTACTCCAAATGCACAAGAATTCGCGCAAGCATGGGATTTTGACAGCGACATGTGACTATCTCAGGGAGCCCCAACGTGGTAGTAGCAAGCTCTGAATCGAGCGACGAACGCAAGGCTCCTAGGGAATTTGTAATGGATCGTGGAGCTCTGGGGATGTAGTGGAAATGTTCGGTGATAGCCTCGAATTCGACCGTGGTGGGTGGTTTCGGATCGGCTGGCAAGCCAGTTCGAGAGGAACCTGTGCTTATGTCGAGAATGGGTCAGTTCGAGTCCTCTAGCTGGAAACTATGAGTGAAGGTTCGAGTTCGTCAGGCGATGGATTCGACTAGTTGGTATCGGAGTAGCGTGAGGAGAGGGTTGTAATTGTACACAATGCCTGGCTGATTCGATTGTCAGTTGTTCAAGAGACTTACTTACAAGAAAGATTCTCGAACAATCCACGGCAGCAACAGTTGCGATGCCCTCCAAAACAACGTGGAGAAAAACATAGCGAATGCAGAGCCAGTAGAAAGTGTAAGCGGGAGGTCTGCCCACTGGTCTAACATGATGAGGATGTCGGGCCTAATTATTTTAGCAGGTGCGCAACCTCCATCCGGGTATTGCTAGCCCGGAGCAAGCCATGAGCACCTCCAAGATACAAACATCTATCCGTCATCGTATCCGACAATCGGATCAAAGTCAAAATCAGCTCTTAGTGGCACTTCATACCCATACCTACTTGCCATGTCCGTGATATCTCTGAATCCGGGGACGGCAGGATGAATCGCCGGGCGGCAGATTCTCCCGGTTCTTGGGCGCCGATCCGGGGCCCGGGCCGACCTGAAACCCGTGCGAGAAGTCCCGAGGAACTTCGTTTTGAAAGATGGAGCACAAACGCACACAGGGGTTTGTTGGGTCACATTGAAATTGGGAACAGGTGGCCGTCGGTGGAGAGCAGGGGGCAGAGTGGGGAGTCTCGTCATCAGAAAGGGGGCAGCAGGGATATCTCCTCACTCGAGACTTGCAAGGGGTGGAAGGAAGGGGGAGGGGTGGGAGTTGTAATCCAGAAACGGAGACATCAGAGATGCAATGGAGAGAAGTGACAGCCAAGGGGGGGCCAAGAGTGGCTGTGCTGATGACATAATCGGGTCCATGGATATCCCGCTTATGTAACCATCAGCACGGCTGTTATTCGGCTCCCTCTCTCTCGTATCGTGCACGTATCCGTAATCCGTATGGCATCCCGCGGTTTCCTTTCTTTGACGAATCCGCGTAAGCTGCCTTAGGTAATCACGGAGAACCTGCTTTGTACATAAGCAGGAAATCACTGCCCAGAAAGACACTCGTCACTTTTGATTGGATAGCCCTGGCAAAGAAGGGGACTCTGCAGTGGGCAGAGTCACTAAACTGCGGCTGCACTCACTGGTCGCCAGTGGACTGGGACTGGAACTGCCTGGGGACCGGCCCACTGCCGCACGGAAGACGGGACAGTAGCACCTCCATGTTCATCCATGCCAAATCACGAACCTTCGTGTTTCGACATCGCCAGCCGCAGAGTCAATTCCACCTCCATCGAGCTCAGTCGTTGCCAGCGGATTCGACATTGAAAGTAGCCTCATCATCTAGCTCTTCCTAATCCTGTCGATCCGGTTAATGTCTGCCTGCTCCCAAGCAGCATCCATGGGACCCCTTTCTCTTCCGTCATAGTATTTCGATAGCGTCGTATGTTGCTGCGCCTTTCCAACACTCCTTTTCTCTCTATCTCCGCCGTCACCCGACCGACTCGATACCGCTCGTTTCACCTTCGCTGCCATACGGATGCCGATAGACGGCTTGTTTCGACTTCCCTTTGATACAGCGCAATTCTGATTCCTGCACCTGACCAGCGACAACCGCGACGATGCCGTCGGATCGCGATCACCGGTACGAATCTGTACCGCCAATCCCCAGTTACGATGAAGCCCTCGCCACAAGTGGCCCGGCCGATCCCTCCGAATGGCAACCCCCGCGCTCCCCGCTAGACGACCGTTCCCAGGCCGAGACGGAATCGCAGTCGCTGCTACACAGGAACGGCGTCGCAACTTCATCACGTCGCCCGAACGGTTACAGGCCGCCAACAGTCGAAACAGATGACGAAGATAGCTCATGGGGCAGTGACGACGATGGCGACGAGACGGCATACGTGCGCCGGGAGATGCAAGAGCTCGAGATAGGGGACGCCGACGACAGATCGCGCCCGTCAATATGGGGGAAACGGATACCATTCGCTCTCTCCTTATCACGCTGGAAGTGGTCTTGGCGATGGCGGATGCCAAATCTGCGTCCAACAATTCGACTGCCCTCGGGTTCGGGCGACAACTCAAACAATTCGAACGAGACGAATGCGACGACGACGAGACCGCGGTTTACGTTCCCTCAATGGGACAAGGATAAGGCGCGGACGGCCATTATCATTTTTGCCCGGGTGTTTGCTGTTGTCTTCGTCATGGGCATTCTTTATGCACTTTTCATGAGCGATCTTTTCACGAGCATGGCTAGGCGCATGAATGGCGGATTGCGCTTCAACCCCGAGGACGTACGCTTGTACGTGCAACAAAACGTTGAGGGCCGCCGACTGAAGGCGTCGGTAGCTCACTACACCAAATACGCCCACATGGCAGGAACTGAGGGCGACTACGCTCTGGCTATGGACGTCGAGTCCATGTTCACCAGAGCCGGGCTGGATTACGTCAACGTCGACGAATACTACGTATACATGAACTACCCAAAGGCCGGAGGACGCGCCGTGGAGATTATGGGCGATGACGGCAAGCCAAAATGGACTGCGAAGCTGGAGGAAGAAGAAATCGGGGGAGAAGCAGCTGGACACCAGACTTTTGTGTTCCACGGCCTCTCCAAGTCAGGAGACGTTAAGGGACCCCTGATATACGCCAACTACGGTGGGAGGTCTGATTTCAAGAAACTTGCGGACCACGGCATCGACACCAAGGGCGCGATCGCTCTTGTTCGTTATTATGGTCCCCAGGCAAACTTGGCTTTAAAGGTCAAGGCGGCAGAAGACGCTGGTTTCGCTGGCTGCATCGTGTACAGCGACCCTGCGGATGACGGCTTCAGATTGGGCGATGTCGCGCCGAACGGTCGCTTCATGCCCGCCGATGGTGTTCAGAGAGGCACCGTCGGGCTATCGAACTGGGTCCTTGGTGACCCCCTGACACCCGGCTGGGAGAGCAAGAAGAACTTGCCGCGCATGAAGCCCGATGAGAGCAAGGGTCTGACCAAGATCCCCAGTCTGCCCCTCGCATGGCGCGATGCACAGATCCTACTTCAGCATCTCAAGGGCCATGGCGAGCAGGTGCCAAAGGGATGGGCAGGAGGCGTTCCCGATATTGCCGAGTGGTGGACGGGTAACCTGTCTTCGCCCATTGTACGACTCAAGAACGACAACGACGTTGTGGAGCAGAAGGGTATCTGGAACGTTTATGGCAAAATCGAGGGCATCGAGCAGGATCAGAAGTCCATCATCATTGGAAACCACCGAGATGCTTGGTCCTTCGGCGCGACAGAACCTCACTCGGGCACGGCGGTGCTGATTGAGATGGCACGCATATTTGGCACACTCGTCTCCAAGGGATGGCGTCCTCTCCGAAGTATCGAATTCATGTCGTGGGACGCTGAGGAGTACAACATGATCGGCTCCACGGAATTCGTTGAGCACAACGACGAACTGCTCAGGCAAAACG